ATATGGACCAGTTCTGAGTCTCCTTCAATGATTCTTGCTATTGTTTTTTAGCATTCTGTGCCTCTGAGTGGATGTTTTTTTGACTGTTTATTGTCATTTTATGTTTCTTGAATGTCTCAAAGCTGAATACTAGAGTAAATGTACTCAGTTACTGTCCAGCAGAGTAACTAAGAGGAGACTCTGAGAGGCCGATGGGTTGTTGTGTCTCATTCTGGACAGGTTTTCATTTCTAGGAGAGTTTGTGGACACAGTTTGAGTCACTTCTCACACACTGACTGGCTCTTTTTGAAAAGACTTTGGGTGATTTGGGGTATTAGTACTTAGTACTCGTGTCCAGTTATTTTGCACTAATTCTGAGTGATTTTGGACAATTTTTCATTCACTGTGGTCCAACTGAGAGGTTCTGAACCGTGTTTGAGTCCCTGTGGACGGTTGGAGGCCCTAGTGCTCACACTCTGAGTCATTTCCAGCGTTTTCTGTTTATTTCACTCTGTGATGAGGAAGAACCGCCACACATCCGTCTGCTTCATGTCGTCTTTTCTTTGCAGAGTGTCAGAACAAACTTCGTCCTCGTGGTGACCTCAGTGGTTCCAGCGCTGCCTCCCCCCCGGCCTCCCCCCCATCCTCCCTCCCGTCTCCTTCGTCCTCGTCTTCGTCGTCTCCCAGCTCCACCATCAGCCGAGGTGATGCTCCTCTCGTTTGTGGTTCGTGTTTTGTGTCCTTGAAGGCGTCAGAACTGGACTAATGAACCGATGTGTCTGTCGTGTCGGCGTGCAGGCCGTCTGTCGCTGTCCAGCCCTGAACTGCTGTCAGAGCTCCGGGAGTCCAGGACACGCCCCCTCCGACACGTCCCCGCCCACAACGGACTGACCACCGTCTTCTCTGGACGAGGACGAGGACGAGGACAGGTGAGGAGACGAACACCTTTGTCTGGCTCCTCCTCTCGTCTTGTTCTGACGTCTGTCTGTAGAATAACTCTCCTCATGTGTCCTGTCTGCATCTCCTAAAACCTAAAATAAATAACTCAGCATGAAAAACTAATATTAGCAAAAATGCCAAACATTAGCATTAAAGCTAAGGTCACTGTAAGTCACTTTATATCTAATTTTAGCATACAAATAAATGTTGTCATGAGAATTAACGTCGACAAATAAACTACAAGCATATCAACTATTTAGAAAGAGACTAAAGTTACAACAGTTAGCAAATCAATTAGTTATATATTCTAAAGTACTGTTAGCCTAAAAGCTAATGTTAGCATTTAAACAAATGTTATTTATTCATTCAACCAGGAAGTCCCCCTGAGATCAGAAGTGTCTTATGAGGCAGCGCAGAGTCAAGAAGCTGATATGAAACAGACACATGATGCTCAGATAAACAGCGAGCAGTGAAACAAACAGACTGACAGCTATTCGAGGACGGCCGCCTCTCCGTTTGCTCTTGCTGGTGCTGAATCTTCAGCTGAGGATGTAGGCTGGTTAACCCGTAGGTGGCTTTGAGAACTAACATTGAAGAGGTTCAGGATTGTCTGTGTTGTAACCAAGTGAATCTGTGGTGCTCCTTCAGCTCCTCCAGCTCAGGTCCACGTAGAAGAAGCATCATGTACTTAAAGAAATACCTGTAGTTGGCCCGGTCATGTTTAGCCTGTACTGGATTCGGTCTGACAGTGATGTGGAGTTCCTTGGACCAAGCAGCAGAGATGGACACCTCAGCTGATCAGCAGACCAGAGCAGCATCCATCCACCTCAGGATGGTGCACAGCTCCAACCCAGAGCAGCCACATGGACACAGCAGAAGAACAAAGACCGCTCACAGACACATCAGGCCGAGAGGCCAACATCCAGCAGGAGGCTGATACTGAGTTTAGCTCGATCAAGCAGCAAGAAAGTCTAGCAGGTGGCTCACCAAATGCAGGTGAAGCAGTCCTCTGCACCACTAGGAGGGTATGCCAAGTCCTTCTCTCTTTCCTGGCACTGTCGGCCTCAGCCTCAAGGCCTCAAGGCCTCAAGGCCTCAAGGCCCGCAGCCTCCACAGTCCAGGTTTAGAGTGCTGTGGTCGTCTGGAGACATCTGACCTTATCCAAAGAGTCCCAGACTGACTGGAGATGTTGTTCTGAAGAAGTATCGCTGAGTCGTAGCGAACTGACGTAGAAGGACGAAGAACATTGCCCATAAAAACACAAAGTGTGTCACAAACAGTGGGCCGGCTTGGCTGCCATCTTGGACGTTAGCATATGAAGTAATGTTAGCATAAAAGCTAATATTAGCATATAAACAAATGTGAGAGATACCTGTTCATCCAGGTAGATAAAAAACTGTTTCTGACAGCTATAAATAACTGAAACATTTCAGAAAACAGATTTCTATGTGTCATTCCAGCAGCTTGAGGTAAATAGGAGCTGTTTGAAGGAGTAAACCTGTCCTTTTGTTTTCTCCTCCAGGCCTCTAACTCCACCCCCAAGACCAAACCAGCCAATCAGAGGATTTCACACTGAATTTACAAACAGCCAGTACCGGACGACTGGACCTCAGTCCAGCATAGACTCTAATTCTGCCTGAATTATCACTTTGTCTCGATCAGGACGGTACCAACACTGAAACTGTACATTTGATGCAAGAACCCAGCATTAAACTGGGCCCCCAATAAGCCCCGCCCCCCTCAGGTACTGCGGCCCACCTGTGTTTGTTCTGTTTCCAGGGATAGAACAGCAGAGTCATCTTTATCCTGAGTGCTTGGTTTCAGACAAAAGTGAGCTTTCCTTTTATTAGCAGTCATCCACAAGCAGTAACCTCCAGGACCAGAATCTGCAGTTCCTCAGGTGTCCACCAGAGGCCGACTCCCACTCCCACGGAGCTCCATGTGAAAACGTGCGACGTGCCAGCAGAAGTAAACACGTTTACAGCCTGGTGTTATCACAGTTTAGCTGGTTTACCCGTTCATGTTGGCGTTCTGTCCTCTGCGTTACCTTGAAGGCTGTTTAGGGAAACCTGGACCTCTGAGCACCTTCCAGCTTCAGGAGCCACCCCTGTAGAACCAGAACCACCTTCCATTTTTATGGGAGAAAAAGGTACCCACTCCAGGCCCGGGTCATGTAACAGTACACGCTGTGGTTAAAGGTAACTGGACATTTCCTTTTGTTTGCTTCTTGAAGGAGTTCTGACTGACTGACTGTGTCATTAATCGCTGCCCTCACGGCTCACTGACAACTCAAGATTCAAACGACTGGAGGACGACTAGTAAAGCTGCCAGGGAGCGGCTGCACCAGGCAGTTTCCCAAATACTCACTCCAGCTTGGTGAAAATCGGAGCGCACCATGTTCTCTGTCTCCTCGATGTCCAGCAGCATCTTCAACATCCACAAAGTTCTCCAGAAAGTCCAACAGAACAAACCCTCTGAAGTCCAGTAACTGCTGCTGGTCACACCTGCGATCCAACACCTGCACCGTCTCCCCAAAGGCCACCAGAAAAGTTCATCGTTTTCAACAAACTCAGTTCAGAAAAATAACACAAGTAGGATGTGTCCTGTTTACTAGGCTGTCCACGTCCTCCATCATCTGAGATCACGATAGGTTCAGATGTTTGTGTATCAGCCTTTACATCAAGGACAGCTTGTTCTAAATGGTTCTGTTTCTTCATGTAGAGATATTGTCTGAAAGATTGTCTGGAATCTGGCAAAGTCAGAAACATGAATGTGTTTAGTAACCACCACGAGTAGACGTCGTAGCTGACGTGACGTCTGAATCGTTGCAATGAGAAGTAAATCCACTAGTTTGTATTTTTCATACAAAGCAGCATCTACTGTCAGGACTCTGCTGAACATGAGGCAGAACTTTGTGCTAATTTCAAAGCTGTAATAGTTGTGTGACCCAGAGAACAAAGTGGTACCATCAGAATCGTTAAGTTCTGCTGCTGATTCTGATTTCACTGTGAAATCGTAAGAAGCTTTAAACCAAGAAGCCGGAGTGTGAAAATGTGCGAAGTAATTCAGAAAAGCGTGACCTTACAGAAGCTTTATTGGCCTTCATGATCCTTTCAGTGTGTGCACGTATGTAAAAGCCCCATTACAGACTCTGGTTCTGTCCTTTCTCATGTGACTTGTTTCCAGTGGTGAGCCCAGCGGTGGTCCAAACCAGTGGGCCCGTCGCATGATGGAGCCGTGATTAAACCTGATGCAAATTCAAAGCTGTTTTTCTCGCCGACTCTTTTTCAAACACACGACGAAGCAGCGTCACAGGTCAGGATGAGACGTTTCATCTGGTGTTTGCTGCAACTCGCTGCCACTCATTCAGCCGAGGACACGGATGACGTGAACTTCAAATTCCATCCAGCAGCAACAGCAGCAGGGCCTCAACTCTTCACTCCTGCACCTGCTTTGCAAATATTCTTTGACCCATTTAAAGGAAACCCAGTATGACCCAACTCTTCTTCTGTCATGTGTATGATATTATAATGGCAGACGTATGTTTTAAATATGACCAAAGGTTAAAAAAGGGGCTAATATCCAGATTATCGACACTTTGCTGCAGGTCATTGGTATCTTTGTGCATTAATATCCAGTTTTAGATGCTGTTGTGTTACAATCTCCTCATTTTTTACACTTTTGTGAGTTAATTTTCAGGCTTTTGCACATAAACTGTCTTTTTATTGGTGGTTTATAGGCTAATATCCAGGTTAGTGAGCCTTTTACACTAATACCCAGCTTGCTGACATGTTGGTGCACTAATATGTGGGGTAAACTCGCCGGGTTTTAACATTGTGTGGATTCATTTTCAGGTTTTTATCTCTTGTGTGCTAATTGTCTGTTATTATCCAGGTTTAACAGGAAATATACACGTTAGTGCAGTAATGTGAAAGTTTGTCGTACTTGAGTGCGTGATATCCCCACAGGTGTACTCACAGGTACAGGAAGTGCAGCGCCTGCGGTTTCCTCCGGACCTCCAGGCGGCGCTGAACCTCCGACTGAACGCCAGCGGGAGTAAAGCGGACCGGAAGTCTCGCTGGTGCAGCGTGATCTCGGACTGGCGGCGGGACAGCTACGTTAGCGACGGAGCTGGTTAGCTTGTTTAGCGGCGCAGTTTCAGGTAAAATGTGCAAACGAACCGTTTCATGTGGTGTGTTCGGCGCAGAGCGAGCAGCAGGCGGGCCGAAGGGAGAACAGCCGTCAGCAGCCGGCGCTAGCGGGGATGCTAACGTGCTAATTAGCCGCTGTTAGCTTCGGTCGGTTAGTGTGACACTAAGGAGAAGCTAGCTGTAGCTGTTAGCGCCGATAACTTTAATGATAGTTCGTGTTTTGAGTCTGGACCCGCTCTTGGTTCGTGTTGTGGCTCAGTTTGGCCGTGAAATGACAATCAGCGCAGCCGCTGCTGAAGCCGAGCCGAAGCTAGCAGGCTAACAGGCTAGCAGCGCTCACACAGCCGCCTTATTGTCTCCTGTGGGTCGTGTTTTGGATGAGCAGCTCTGGTGGTGGGATGTGGACTCGGTCAGGGCTCAGACCAGCACCGGGATCTAGACCGAACCCTTCAGTTAAATGAAAGTGACTTATGAGGCCTCCTCAGCCAGGGTCAGTGAGAGTTCACAACAGGTGGAGCAGCCTGACCCGGACTGCTCTGGTCCATGATCATTAACAGCTGTGGTCACGTGACTATGTTCCCATCCAGGTAATCAATGCTTTGTGCACCAGTATCCACATTACTGCTGCTTTCCTAACAGGACCAGCCTCCATCAATCCCACAGCAGCAGAAGATAAACAAACAGATTCTTCTTCATGTCGAAAGTCAGATATTAGACACGTTTTCCTTTAATGTGAATTGTCAGAGTCCGACAAGTGACTCTACCGTTGGAGGATCTTTGTGTTGACATCCAGGTTATTCATACTAAAGTGTGTGAATATTAATCATACTTTTGTGTGTTATTACCCACATTAGAGATGCTTCTGTGTGTTACCGTCCAGACTGTTGAGGGTAGCTGGGCGAGTGGCTCTTTAACCGTGTGACCTGGAGCTCGTAGCTTTATGATGATTGACCAGGTGTACAGGTGCTTTGTGACAAAAACACTTGACAACCACTGAGCTGGACCAGTTGTCGCTACCAGCTGTCGTTGTCTCTCATCCACCATGAACGCTCTGTTAGCACCAATAGTCGTCATTTCATTGAGCCGTGATGTGGGACTCTGTGCAGACCAGGAGGAGGGATGCTCCAGTCACGTCGTATTCACAGTGGATCTGCTGCCTGGAGGCCGCTCTGATCTGCAGCGTTTCACATCCGCCTCATCAAACATCATCCGAGTTCCTTCCTTCCAAGTCCGTGTTGTCATTTCTGCTGCTTGTTTATTCTCGTTGTTGTGTGTTTCGTTATTTTGGCAGATTATCAGATCCGATGTTGAGCATTTTTCTTTCTGCATCATAAAGTCGGTCGTTGGGTTTAGCTTCATCTGACTGGTTGCACATCACCAGCAGCAGCCAACCAGCTCTGAGGAATAAACGCTGAAAGGTTCTCAGCGAATCAGACGCATGAAGCATAAACATCCCTCTGTGTGTGTGTGTGTGTGTGTGTGTCACTGTGTGTGTGTGGTGTTTGCTGCCTGTGTATAGATAACAACCAATATGAGCCCTGATCGGAGCACACTGGTTGACCAATAGCACACAGGTGTTGCTGCCTGAGGCGTAACAGACGGAGTGACGGGTTGTCGGTGTTGTTCTGCCTCCTGACAGCGAGTCTGGTGTCGGTTCGGTCCGATGGGCGACAGCGATGACGAGTTCGACCGGAGGAGGCGGGACAAGTTCAGGAGGGAGCGCAGCGACATGGAGAGGTCGAGGGAGCGCGACGACCGTAGGAGGGACGACTGGCCCGACAGGTAACTTCCTGTCGTTCACCGTTACCGTGGTTACATGTCAGTCAAACACGGCTCACTGTGGAGTTTCTGCATCTTTTTGTCATTTCATAGGATTTCTTCTTTGTAAATCGTCTTTGGTCTCAGTCGTTTTGTAATTTTTTGCTTTTTTTCCGTGTCATTTCATATCATTTCTGTCTTTGTCTAATGTTGGCGTCCTTTTGTGTTGTTTTTATTAATGTCTTCTGTGTAACTTTGGCTTCATTTTTGTCTTATTTTAAAAAAACGACTTGTTTGTTCCATGTTCGTGGTTTCTGAGTCGCATTTCATTTAATTCCTACATCTTTCTGTCATTTTGGTGTCTTTGTGTGTCGGTTCTGAATTATCTGGGTCATTTTTACATCTTTGCATCTCGAGCTGATCGTTGAGACTCTTTGGACTAAACTCCTGCTGACTGACTGTGTTGATGTGAAGAGGAGAAGATGAAGGACATGATCACGGTGGTTTTTTTTTCTGTAAACATCAAGAGGAGCTCTTAGACATTTGAACTGCCTCAGGTCTTCTGACACTAAAAGAATCCGAATGTGAAACTGCTCCCAGACCAGCACTCGCTCCTGTTAATCTGACGGCTTCATGTCTGATGGATCAGCGTTCCTGTGAGGTCTCTTACTGACAGTCAGGCCCTCCTTTATGTGACGTGGCAGGTTTGTGGCGCCGTGTCATGTGTTCATGTGATTTCAGGGACTGGGATCGCGGCAGAGAGAGGAGGCGGGACTACGATCGCGGTCGCAGAGAGCGCTTTTCTCCTCCGCGACACATCAGCCCTCAGCACAAACGCATGAGGAGAGACTGGTGAGTTCAGTTTAACTAAACCAGAGTTCAGTTTAAATTAAGTTCAGTTTATATCAAGTTCAGTTTAACTCAAGTTCAGTTGAACTCAAGTTCAGTTTAACTAAGTCAAGTTCAGTTTATATTAAGTTTGGTTTAAATCAAGTTCGGTTTAACTCAGGTTCAGTTTAATTCAAGTTCAGTTTATATCAGAGTTCAGTTTAAATCAAGCTCAGTTTACTAATTAGTCAATTAACATTCATTCCAGGGACGACCACCGGGGGGAGCCATACCGCTATGACCTGCCCTATGGAGGGGGAGGGGGAGGGGGAGGAGGAGGAGGAGCTCCATTTCCGGGGGCGGGGCCTCAGGGCTGGCACCCCGACTTCCCCCACCTCCACCCACACCACGGAGGTCACCCACTGCAGGGCAGGTGAGCTCACGTCTGCCCCCTAGTGGTAACAGGCTGTCTGTATCTATAGAGGTTAATCTGTAATGTGTAAGTAAATGGTATTCATGTGGTTTATGGTGTTTATATAGTTTAACCTTTAAAAGTTTACTCTTGTCACTTTTTATTAACTTTTTTTGACATTCTTTTCAGATTGTCCATGACTTTTAATTCTATCTTTAATATTTTCTATACTATTGTAATTACTGGGGACGTTTTTAAGGTTATAAATTTAGTTTGTGTTTTATTACAGCTTTTTTAAATTTATTTTTTAATATATATTTTCTAACCTAAATTAATTAAGTGTTGGAAAGTTTTTTGTTTGTTTTTTTATTTTTAAAAAACGTTCACATAAGTAGTTCAGTTCATTGTTTGACGTTTACTTTAGATTTTCACGTCCTTTTGTTAACAAATTTTTATATATTTTCTGTACAATAATAACACTTCAGTATGTTACGAGTATTTGTTGAAGTTTTTTAAAGTTTATTGTTAATATAATTTAGATTTTTATTCCTGACATTTAATTATGTCCTTTTTTTTAATAAACAGTGTCTGTGTTGTTAATAATTGTTGCGCTGACGGGTCAGGTCTGTGTTTATGTGTTGTCAGGCTGGGCATGGTGGATCCAGACCTGCCTCCTCCTGGTCCTCCCACCATGAGGAGCTTCAAGGTGAGCAGCACCAAACCTCCATCAGAGCATCCAACCTGAAACAGTCGCAGTCTGAAGGCAGAACTCTGATCATTAGTAAAGCTACCGTGGATCCAGAACCCGGTGTTCTGAGGAGGTGTTTTCATGTTTTCCACTCATGCTGTTATGATGGATGAGCATTGAGCCGTCACAGTGTAGACGTGGTGACCTTCTGAGGAAGCTTCTGACGGGTTGTGGTGTCTGCAGGAGTTCCTGTTAAACATGGAGGACAGCGTCGACGAGACCGAGGCCGTGAAGCGCTACAATCAGTACAAACTGGACTTCCGGCGGCAGCAGCTGCAGGACTTCTTCCTCCAGCACAAAGACCAGGAGTGGTTTCGCTCCAAGTACCACCCTGATGACATCACGGCGAGGAAGACGGAGTCGCTGGCCGCCCTCAAAACCCGACTGGGTGTCTTCCTCTTCCTGCTGGACAACAGCTGGCTGGACAACGTGTCGCTGGACATGGACCACGCCCTCGCCATCATCAAGCTGCTGGACGCAGGTAGGCGCTGGAGGTCGGGCGGGGAGCCGAGGGGGCTTCTGGGTAGTGTGGTCCTCACACTGTGCGTTTGTGTGCAGCTGTGATCAAGATGGAGGGAGGTACAGACCTGGACCTGCAGGTCCTGGAGGCTCCGGCTTCCGCTGCAGCTGCTGGCAGTGGCGACGCGAGCAGCGGCGAGAAGAGTCAAGTCGATGCCAGCGGAGGAGGCACGAGCGCTCAGACCAGCTCAGAGCCGACCGTGACTCGGACAGACGAGGCGACTGGTGGCGAGTCGGGAGACGTGAAAGACTCCAAGAAGGTGGGGACAAAGATCTGATGGCGTCCTGCAGCCTTTCACCTCCTTCAGGACACGACAGGCTGCTACCAAACCACAAACCAAACCGAACTGGGCTGAGTCACAGCTGGTGTCGGAGCTCTACGTGGCTTTGACCCGATGAATCTGGTGTTTCCTCTGGATGTGAGGACAATAAGACAGAGATTAAAGATCCTGATATAATCTTTAAAACTAGCTGTCTTTAAACAAATGATGTTTCACAAATCAGACTCTTCTGACTTGTTGAACATCCGTGTTGTTTACAGTAAAACTAATAAAAGTCAAATCACTGAAGTTGACATTAACACGTTTTGGTCCAATGATGAAATCATACTCGGTGCCACGACTAGCACTAGCACTTCTCCCCTGTGCTCTGCACCTGGCTCCTCTGTTCTCTGGTTCATCCTTCTAGACCTGGAGAATGGTTTTGATGTGTAAGCTGTGAAATATGATGTTTCTGTAAAGACTCCTGACGTGCTGTCTCGTTGTCAGGACGGTGAAGACGCCAAACGTAACGGTGAGAAGGAGAAGGACGAGGAGGACGAGGAGGAGAAGAAAGATGAGGAGGAGGAGAAGAAGAGCAGTAAGAAGGTGAGTGGCTGCTCAGGCTGCTTTACTGCTGATGTCCTCCATGTTCTGGTTTTAATGTCGCCGCCGCTGTCTCCTCAGGGCAGGAAGAGGAAACGCAGCGTGTCAGCTGACAGCGGGGAGGGCAGCGCCTCAGACTCTGACTCCTCCCACTCCGACGGCGAGAAGGAGGAGGACGAGGAGAAGGAGGAAGAGGAGGAGGACCGAGACGATGGTATGTACAGCTGGACTCCAAATCTAAGCTATATCAATAAAAGTCTACAAATAATTCTGACAGTTCTTCATAAGAGTGTGTAGACGGTGTTCTGTCTAACCTGTAATATGTTAGTAAACTTTAAACCTCTGATAATTATTCATAACATGTATATAAAACATGTAAAATATTCACAAAAGGTTGTGGAAACCTTTACAAAGTGTCTCAACTATCAGGTGAAACAAACAACTGTTAACTTCTCAATAATCTAAAAACAAAATGTTGTGTCTCAGAGCGTCGTAAAGAGCGAGGGAAGGAGCGCGAGAAGGAGGCGCCGGCTAAGCCCCGCCCCCTACACCTCACCACCTCGCTGTTCATCCGCAGCATCCCGCCGGAGGTGTCCAAGGAGGAGATCACTGCTGTGA